CGCCGATTGTCTTGCTGATTTTGACCAGCTGATTCCCCCCCCCCCCCGCCCTTTCTCACCTTTCAGGGCTTCCAAGCAGCAGGAGGAATTGCGGGAGCTGAAGGCCAAGTATCGGCGGCTTGAGGCCCAGCGAGCAGAGATGGTTAGCCAGTTCCAGGCCATGATGCAGGCACACTGGAACGAGGCTCTGCGCCTCTTTGCTGCCAGCAGTGCTTCCCTACAGCCTTCTCCCAAAGCCCAGCAGCAGGTGAGGCCCGGCATCCTCGTACCAGCCTGAAGGATGGCTGTTCTCTTGCACAGCCTTAAGTTCCCCAATCCTCTAACTCTAGCAAGGGGTGCAAGTGAGTTGGGGAAGCTGAGCTGGGAAATGGGGCATTTCTGGCTTGAGTTTTCCCTGCACCTTGAGTTCATGGAGAGAGGCCTTCCTGTTCAGCTTTGCCCTCCCTTTCTAACCACACTGGGGAGGTCATAATTCTGGCCTGCTTTGAGGGGTTATTGTAGGAAGGGCTGCAGCAAGATATTGTAAAATGGAAGTTTTTTCTTGCCTTCCAGCAGGCAGGAATGTGTCCTATTTAGAACGCATTCAGTAGTGCTCGGCTGTTTCTTCCTGAGCTGGCGTTTTCTTTCTCCCTTTTTCCTTGCTCTTCTAGGAGGCTGCCTCTGAGCCAGAACCCACCTCCAAGCCGGAGTTTCTGCAGCCTTGCGATCCGCTGAAGAAGACCCAGAAGATGGAGTCTCTCGGCAGCAATCAGGGTGCTGGCGATTGCAAGGAGGTGGCGTGGGCCAAGGCAGTGCCTCTTCAGCCCGTCGTCCAGCAGAGCAAACTGCAGGGGGCTCCCGAAGGCTCTGAAAAGTCTGTGCAGGATCCTTCCCGGCATTTTCTTCCCCTGATGCCTGACGTGGGCCGTCTCTCCTCCGAATTCAGCCACATTCTCAATTCCAGCCTCCTCAGCCAGCAGGGCTTCCAGCAGCTGGACCCTCAGGTGGACACCACTGTTGCTGGATCAGGTGTGCAAGTGTGCCTGGAGTCCTTCCTCGCAACGGCTGAAAATGCTTTGGCAGAAGCAGCTGGGGCAGTAGTGGCCGGTCACATGTTGTCCCTTCGACTTGCCCAACCTGGTGGCAGCCAGCCTGTTTTTCACCTGCCTAAAGGGCAGCCCTTTTATTCTTTCCAATCCAAGCAAAGGTTGCAGAGAGGTTACAGGCGGGGCTCAGGACTCAGTCTACACGTCAGCAGGATAATGCCCTGACACCTGAGCTGATTGGGACCAAATCTGGGGTGAAGCTGGCAAGGGAAAGAGTTTGAAAATGGACTGGATCTGGCTGGAGGCTGCAGTGAGAAAAATCGGGGGGGATTTTTTTCCTGGGAATTTCCCCCCAGTGCACTTCTATAGCAGAGGAAGATGGGTGTCCACTTGGAATGTCCCCAGCTGCTCCACTGTGAGCCCCCCTCCTCTCTCCTGGTCACATGATCTAGAAGGGTGCCTGTACTGCTCTCCCCATGCACGCATGCAGACCAACCACCGACCCACACAGGAAGGGAGAAAAAATACTGATGCAAACCTGTTACCTTGCTGCACAGAAGAAAATACAGGTGCCTCTTATGGCTGCTGCTGGTGGAAGGCTGGGAAATTCTGCGGGGTTTTCCTACTTGGTTGAAACGCTGTGAGGGTGGGGTTGGTCTGTCACGGCATCGGCTTGCCTTGCCCCGTAAGCCTGCAGTAGCTGAGGGCAGCTTTGACAACCGAGCGAGCTTTCTCCCCTCTCTTAAAATAATTACTTTAAAAGTGATTTTGTGATTTAATCGTGATTTAATCAGGGGGTATTTATATTTTTATTGTTTTTATTGTCTTGGTTTTTAATTGTTAGCCACCCAGAGCCACCCTCTGGGGGAGATGGGCAACATATAAAATTAATAATAAACAAAAATAAATAAAAAGTATTGTGATCTCCATAGGAGCTCCTTGTAATGCTGTACGGCATGTATAAATTTTATCTCGGGTGTGGCACGGCGAATGTACAGATGGACGAACGTAGCAGAAATTGAGCCTGTAGCTGAATGGAGATTGAAACCTGGGCCTGTCCTTTCTTCTTCTTTCCTCCTTCCCCTTCTCCGTTTTCAGGTTTGATTTTCCACCCAGAAAACCTTGCAGAACACCCCTTCGCAGATGAGAGAGAGGACTCCAGCCCTGAGCTGGCAGGAAACGAAAGCGAGGTCACTCAGCCCAGCACTGCGGAGAGTGGCGCTCAAGGGCTACTGCCTGACTTAAATTACTACATGCGCCTGGTAAGGGTCCTTTTCCTAGCCCGAGGGAAGGGAAGCGTGTGTGTGGGAGGGCGCAGATGGCCAGCTGGCTGGAAGGGTAGCAGAAGTCTAGAACTGAGATGCGTGGACTTCAACTCCCAGAATTCCCTAGTCAAGAACAAGCTACAGTGAATCAGAGTGACGCCACGGACATCACCACATCAGTGCAGACATGATGCAATTATGTACTTACATAATTACGGCGTCTGTGCCATGAGGTCATGGTACGTGGGATGTCATGCTCTCCTGTGAACACCCAACATCTTCAGGCCTGGGAACCCGTGGGGCTTTGCTAGGTCATGACAAGCTGTGCCCAATTGCCAGGTGTCTTTAGTAAAACATGGCTTTGGAATCCAGATATTTAACACAAAGAGCTTAATACATCGGTTACAGTTTAGCGTTAAGGTACCCCATGTTTATTGCGTACAGGTTGGCTTTAAAGTGGCTAAACCATATCATAGAGCAAGTTCTAAAAGACAAAAATAGGCTGTCTTTTCTCCCTAGAAACTCCAACTTTTATCCACCCTAAATGTGGGATTGCTTATTACTTTTCTTTACAGCGTTGGCTTTTTTTTCCCCCCTTGGTTCTGATAATTGACCTTGAGTGGGGCGGGGCGGGGGAAGCCAGGGCATGCAAACTTAACTCTTATCCAACTGCGACCCCCGCCCTGCCAGCTTCTGGACCGTTCCACAGTTGAGAGCAGTGCTCCACAGCAGGAGGGGTGTTCCATGGAGAGCCCGCCACATACCACAGATCGGACACAGATGGGTAAGCACTGGCCCAGCCTCCTTCCCTTCCCCAAGACAGGAGCTCTCTGGTTGTCTTCTAGCAGCTCCTGATCATCCCCCAACCTTTGCTGTGTGTGCGGGCAGGTGCCAATGGATCAGAATTCTTGGCCTGGTAAGAACCGTGTGGATTTGGGTAATGGCCAGCCTGAAGAGGGACATTTGGTCTGGTGGCTGCACCAAATTCTTGATGACATTTAGGTCTGTTGTCCCTCCCACCTGAAGATTCCTTGACTGTCTTCTCAGGTAATTCGCAGTCTTACCACGAACAGTCCACAGCCCTCTGGGATCCGGCACAGCCGTCTTTCAACACAATTCGCATCCAGCCGCCCAGCAGCGCTGCTGTCCACAAAACCAAAGTCCCTCTGCCCAAAGCCGGACCGGTGTGTTTAAGCCTGGAACCAGTTAGCCCCTCCAAACAGAGTATTGGTGCGTGCTCCTTCTGGGAAGAGCGGTGAAGGTCTCTAGTGTGTGCCCAGGTGGCGAAGGTTGGAGCCTTAGGCTGACTTTTCTCTTTTCCTCCCCAGCCCATGAGGAAGGGATCCTGTCTCCAAAGCACGTGGCTGCAGTCTCGCGCCTTCTGAAACAGTACCAGGCCAAAGGGAGGCCCGTGCCCTCGATTGAAGAGCTCTACAAATACTTACACAGTTTGGGCCAGAACGGGTAAGGTGGAAGGAGAGGGTCTCTGCTCAGGCCGAAGGTGTTCTGGGTGAGGCCCTTGTCCCCCTGGGCTCTGTGGGGCGGAGGAAGGAGACGGCTCCAGCTTTTAGAGGGGGGTAGAGCCCAGAGGGGCTGGGATTTGCTCTGATGGCTCCTCCTGCATTTTGGGATTCCATATCCAGTCCGGAAACAAAAGGCAATGGGAGTCTGCCAGCACGCCGGAACCTTGATCCCAAATTGACCGAATCGATGAGGAAAGAGGTACGTTTCCCCTTCAGGTGAGGCCAGTCAAACTTGCAAGAGAAGAGCTAATTCCTCTTTTTCTGGGTTGGGAAAACAGCAAAGGGCCCTAACCCCAAGCAAGGCCCTCTCTCATTCCTTCCTCAGGGCCCTCCCAGCCGGCGGACAGGGGCCTTGGGACTTGGGCGCGAGAAGTCCCACGCCGCTGGGAAGGCTGGGAAGAAGCTGTCCGGTTCATTGGCCTCCAACCCTCGGAGCAGCAGAGGAGGAAGTGTGTGGAGATAACGGTCTCTTCAACCCAGTTTGCTGTTCGTCTGCAGCTCTCCGCTGGATAGATGTGGTTTGAGGAGAACGCCTTTCATCACCAGCTTTGTTATCGACTGCGGCTAGGAATCTAAAACACTGCCTGAGATAAGGCCTAGAACAGTCGTGCAGAAGTTGGTTTTATTTTAACGCTCCGCTTCACTCTCACAGAGTCAGAAATGGGAGTGACAGCAAAGGCGTCCGCTTTTGACAATTCTTCACAACAGGAGATGCTGCCAGACCCTTGTAGGACCCACTTCTCGGGATCTCTGCATCCCATCCCTTTGCATTTCCCTGCTTCCTTCCTGCGGTCTGTCTCTCCGTCCGTTTGCTGAACAAATCCTGGGAAAGAAGGCTGCTTCCCATAGAGCCTAGATTCAAGCGTTCCCAAGGGAGATGCTCTCTCGTGTGAAGTCCTGGGACCCGTCTCCTGCTCTCCTACAGCCACCTGTGCTTCTTTCCCTGATGTTTCTCTGCATCCTGACGTCGTTTGGAGTGCTTTCTTCTGGATGCACAGTTTTAGAGGCACCTGGCTTTGCTGTATAGGTTCTCTCTTTTTTGCACAGTTAATTATTTTTGTAAAAAGTTTATTTTCTAAATAAATGGAATTGTGAGTTATTTTTAAGCAAAGGGTTCACCCTCCCGCTTGTCATTGGCATTGCTGTTATTTTTTGCAACATGTACGCTTCCAAGCGTTCCCCTCCAAAATACCTTTTGAGAAACTGGTCTGTCAAAATCGGGGGCCTTAGGGAAAATAATTAAGTTCCTCTCTTATTGGCACAGTCTGGCTGAGGTTTAAATCCTTAGATGCGGGATTCAGATCTCTTGGACATGTAAAGTTAAAGGCCCCGTTGTTTTTCAGAGGTCGTACATGACATCTGGTTACTTCCTTTCTCCCTCCCCTGCGCCTTGCAAGCATTTGCAAGATGCACACACTGTCTTCTTGCTGCTCCAGCAACTTGCCTGCATGCCTTTGTATATTTTTGTATACCAACTGGGTGTACGCTGCCCTCAAATAGCTCCCTTTGCATGACACCACGTTTGAGCAAATATGCCCGAGATGTCTTTGAATAAATACACATTTTCATTTGACAAGCACACGTTAAATGATGGTAGACTTTATTGCCATTAACCATGTACAGTTTTCCTTGTCTGTTTCCTGCACTTCCTTCTGTGCTACATTAACCTCCAAGAAGGTTAAGAAGAACAGAATCTCGGAGGCTGGAATAGAAACAGTTTTTCCCTTTTGTCATCCTCACTGTTCGGTGTGGGAAGCTTGGGTTTAGATGATGAGATTCCCATGCTTTCGCATCTGCAGATGTTTCGGGGGCAAATGTCACTTACCTACACTATCGCACCTTCCTATTTTCAGTGCATTTCGTAGCTCAACTTCTTTCCAACCAAGTTCTGCCAAAGATGCTGCTCAGAGCCGTCACTCCCCAGTACAAAGGTAATAGAGGAAGCTGTTCAACCACAGATGGATTTCTTCCAAAAATAGTCTTCTGCAGAAGTATTAATCTTCTGCAAACCCAGCTGGGCTGTATGCAGAAGAGGAACAGACCCTGCCTGATTTTGAAGTGCCTGCTAGATGGGCTGCTCCAGATTCCGCTCCTGCTTTGTTTGCAGAAGTCCTTTTCTCTGCTGGCCCAATTTGATCTCCTTTTCACGTGTCCTCTGGTTACCTGACAGTCATGCAAATAAACCAGCATTTTGGACTTACAGTGGGTGACTCCTATCTCTGCTGAGTCATCTTGCACCTTCTTCTTTCAAGGTTTCCTTTGCTTGCTGTGTCCAGATCTGCACAAGTACCCAAGCGGCGTTTCCTCAAATGGGCTTGCTTTCAAAATCTTTGGCCACTTAGTTGCCTCTTAGCCCATGGCTCCATCTTCCCCAATGGCCTGGTGGAACTCTTTCTCCTCGCTTTCCCTCTTCCCATCGCATCTCTTCACCCTTCCACACCCCTCCTTTGTCCCCCATACTTAGCTTTGCACGCTTGCTGCTCTGCGTCCCTCACTCTTGTGTTCTGCCACCTTGCAAGTGTTGAACATCTCACGCTGGGTCAACCCGTTCCTTCCTCTCCATCCCCTTGCTCCATCTAGACCTCCTGTGTCTCTGCCACCCTGGCTGTGGGGTTGCTGCATCTCTCTTGCTGCCCGGTCAGTCCAGTCTGCCTGCCCCCTCCATGAGTTTCTAATCTGATTAGCTATTAAGGGACCGTGGAACATGGATTATGGGTTTAAAAAAAACCCACTCTGCTTCCCCTCCTCCACAAACGCCAGCCTGGAGGCTTGTAAGCCCCCAAGTCCACTGCTCCACTTTGCTCCTTGGATCCAAGAAAGACATCCAGTGGCCATCACTGCCCCGTACCCTGTGCCCCACAAGGAAGAACCAGGGGAGGGAAGAAGCCCCAAAAGGCTCAGCAAACCCCCTTTTCTCCAAGCCAGTCTCCCCCAAACGGGGGATGGGAGGGAGCTGGCACTGATTTTCGGCCTTTGCCTTTTCTCGGAGTTGCTTCCTTCCTTCCTTCCTTCCTTGCCGTTCTGGTTCGGTTTCCTAAGAACAATTCCCCCTGGATTTGAGCACGTGGATTTTTTGCTTTGTTTTTTGGAATCATTGAGACTTGGTAAGAGAGTGTGTTATGTGTCGCAGAACAAGCCTGGTAGTTTGGCTCTGGACTAGGATCATGATGGATCTGAGAACTAGGAGTTGTGGGTTATGCAAGCAAAAGGGGTTATCGGGGAGACCGAAACCGTTTTCAGTTTCTTTCGCAGCTTGAGCAAACAGTGGAGGGAGGCCAAGAACCGGGCAGTGACTTTTTATTCTGCGTGCCCCAACGTTTGGTCCACGCTTGGCCTTTTTCCTTGTAGCTTCATGCACCCAGCATCATTTTGCTGCTGCGAAAAATTTAATCTCTGTGTGCGTCTGTTGGGAAATGTGTTTTGCTTGGACTGGGTGATGGAACCAGAAGGGAAAGGAATTGAGAAAGATGGCCTTTTGAAAGGGGGACGTTTGTGGATTTGAGGGCCCATTGATGGAATTAGGAGTGTTGGCAATAAGAGAACGGAGGAAGGATAAGGTGCAGGAAAGGTGTTAGGCAGAAAACCTGGCATTGTCCTGCCAGGAGGAGAAAGAATGTGGGTGGTGTGTGGATGAAGATTCTCAGTCATCCAGGTGGAATTATCTGGAGGTTGAGTCATGGCAACTGGACTTCTTTTCGTTTGATACGTTTCACTGCTTGTCCGAGCAGCTTCTTTCTAGACTGAAGCTGAAGGAGCTGCTTGGACAAACAGTGAAACGTATCAAACCAAAGAAAAGAAGTCCGGTTGCCATGACTCAACCTCCAGATAATGTGGGTTGTGGTGGGGATCAGTTTTCTCTCCAGATCAAAGGCTGTATGTATTTTGACTGTCTTCAAACCCCAGAGGCGATATAATGAAGTTATCCAGTGTGTATCCCTTCTCTGCAATAATCTCTTAGGTTGAAAATTGTTACCCTCCAACCAGATAGCAAAGTTCTCTAACTTGGCAGTTATGGGAGGTAGTGTCCCACACATCTGGAAGGCATTTAGCTGAAAAAAAAACCCCTGTCTTATTCCAACCTGTGTTGACATAACAAGAGCTAGCGAGTTGTTCTTTTTCAAATAGGGCCCAAGATGGCGGTGCCCACCCTCTGTGAAACTTTCCACGTCTGTTGCCTTTGATACGTGTGTTGGTCTGCATATGCCTCTCCATCTGTTTTGGTTGTTGGTTTTTTGCCTCTTTATCAGCCCATCGACCAACCAAACCTTCCTTTTTCAGGTCTTCTCTCTCTCTTTCCATTCTTGTAATTCTGAGAAGACTCCTAACCCTTGTTCCCACTTGGCCAAGGGGATGTGGGTGAAGGTGTTCCAGCGGTGAAGAGTGACCTTCACCACAGGGATCCTGGAGCATCTGCTCTTGTGTGAGTCTCCTACTTTACAAATGTATGCTTTCTTCTGTAAGGTTAATCTTACCCCTGGGCTGTTTGGGTTCACACATTGTGCTACATCATGATTTTTAATCATAGGTGGTTGATTAATCCATAGCGTCTCACTACACACAAGCAAACCCCCTTATGCCTTAGCATACCACGGGAACTCAGAAGACTTCTTTTTTACTTCCTTTTATTAGATGAACAAAGTTTCCCAGAGCAATTGGGATCTTCTCAGGCGCCCATCAGGTAAATTGGCGCACCCCATGATATCCAGAGGATACCAGATGGAGGAAGGCTTCCATGGAAAGTATTTTGGGGACCTGGGATCCTAATTGCTCTTAGACATGCTTTTATTAAATGTGACATTTCATAGTGGTTGCCAGAATTCTTAGGAAATCAGAGAAA